GAAAATATGGTCACCCTATCGTAGATGATGATAAATAACATAGTTATGTATAATATATTACATTTCTGACTGTATATCCCTGTAATTATTACACACTGTAGCTTTAATAAGTAATTTGGTGTTTTTTTAATTAAATCAGATATATTTTCTTCATTTGGTTTCTAATTTTCTTTTTTTCCCCCAATGTGTTTCAGAACAACAATCTGATTAAGATCTTAGCCAGTGACAATAGAAGTAAACACAAAAACAGTTGTTTCATGCTGTTATAATTAAGGGAGAAAGAAAATTATTTTCAAATCCCCCATCTTTTAACCACTGTATATAAAAGCCAAATCAACATGATGTGATTTTTTTCAGAAGTGGGTAAATATTGCTTTAAGTCAATTCATTAAATTATACTTTTCAGGGCTTGAACTTACTACCGTTTTATTACCGTTTGTGTTCAAATTGTAATCTGTGCAACTTAAAAATAGTTTAGAACAAACAACTATTGTGTTTTAAGCAAAAACTACAATATTAGCTTTTACAGTTATCTGCTAATAATTTAAGTTATGGTGTTTAAGATATTCTTCTTGTGTTTTATGGGAGAGACCCCCTTGTCCTTAAAACCTAGTAACATATGTGCTAATATTCATCTTTCTTAGGAAGAACACTGTCACAATGTCTGACGACTATTTGAACGAAATTCAGGAAATGGATGTTGACCAGATACCTGATGATTTTTACTCCTTTAATACAAAACTCCAAATACCTGACACCAGTGGACTTGTCTCCAAAGGACCTGACTCCAATAGAGCGGAGTCCAACGGACCAGACTCCAAAAGACCTGACTCAAAAGGGCCCAGCTCTAAAGAACCTGGCCTTCAAGAACCTCAATCTCAGGTTTACTTTTCTATTATTCGTATTATTAGGACTGCAGCTGCATGTTTTCAGTTAGTTACACCAAAAAAAATGTGTTTTAATTAATCACCCGTCTGAATTTGAATAATTAAAAACACAACTGGGCATAAGGAATTAGGTCTTAAAGATGATAAAAAAAATGTTAGTTTTCTCTGCCCTAAATAACTCTGTGTGTCAGGGTCACTCTGCTCTGTGACTGCAGACAAAGGCTGCAGCTGCTGAGCCTAAGTCACTGTGGAGGAGGGAGGGTCTTGCTAGCTTTACATGAAAACGGTAGACTTGGTCAGTGCTATCACCAAAGTCTCAAACAAGACAGAAAAAAGTACATAGACTTATCAGTAGATGTTTAAAAAAAAGTTGCTAGAGGGGTCTAAAAAGGCAATAAAAATAGACTCTGAATTGGCAGCAAGGCACAAGCGGCCTCTCTGTTTGTCTTTATACTGCTGGGCAAGCAGGGGGTGGACAGCTTGATGACGACAAGAGGCCGCATTTTTAGACACAACCAAAAATCCTGAAACAGGAATATTGAAATTGAAGTTTAAATCTGTTACTACAGTGCAACCATAAACGGTTGGGAGACTTTTTAAACATGTAGTACGATGCATTTATGACATTTATAACGTGTTTTGAAGACAATTGGGAAATTCTCTTTACATGGTCTTTAAACGGTGCATCTTAAGGATTATCCTTACAGCTGGACAGGGAATTAATACATTAAAAGACTGGTCCCACCAACTCCTGCACTCAGGCTTCTTTTGCCTGCTGCTGCTAAGTGATATAAATAAAAATTAACTGGACTTTGTCCAAAAAGGCAGATATGATTTAGAAAGGGTTGGGGTAGGTTGAAAAATCTTTGACAGGGATCCAGGGGAAGTAAGTGCACTAAATATATGAAAGAGAGGTAACAGTTAAAGATACCAAGAATCAAGAAGAGCATTGAAATATTTTTTTAAAATTAATATTGTTATTGATGAGCTTAATACATTGATTTGCTTTGATTTCGTGTGAAGTTGAAGAAAATTTGTCTGTCACATGGGATCTTAATAATAACAGTTCTTTGGTTGTATCTTGAAAAATTTGAGGGCATACAAATATTTTTATATGACATATTAGTTTTCTTTGAGGTATGTCAAACTTTTTCATTCTAATTTTTCAGGCTTCTCCAGAGCACCAGAGTCAGGTACTTCTAACTCTGTCATTAGACTGGGCGGAAAAAGAGAAACCAGCAAAGAAAAAGAGATTCCTTGAAATATCTCTTCAATCTTGGTTCAACAAAAGAAAGATTACAACTGATTGCTCAGTTAAAGATCTACTGTCAGATGGGCGTGTTGTGGTTCAGCTTAAACCTCCTCCAGGTGTGGTAAAATGGTTGAATGCTATTTTCTAAACCTTCTGATAATCTGCTCCCATAGCAACTTTAAAAATGTTAACAAAATAATAATGGATTTTCAGATTTTTGGAACATCAATTAATTTTGTGTTTGAATTTTTCTAGTTGCCAATGAACTTCAGAAACTACAGGGTGAAACATTAATGAAAGATGGGACAGAAGTCACCATTCTTTCAGTCAGTTTTGGAGCACCGAAGATGGATGCACAAACTGCAGATGGTGCTTCAGCAAATACTGCTCCTCCAGCAGCTTTAAAAAGCTCCAAACCTTCAGTGTCAGAGCAGACAGTGGTATGTAATCTAAACTAAATGCAATATATTTGCAGGAAAATATATATTATATCCAACCTGCTATACTTTTTCTTAAGGTGCAGATGCAGTTTGAAGAACAAATGGATGTGGGAAGAAATGCTCCTAGAAACCATAGAAAGAAATCTATGGAATGTGTTGTCCCACTGGCTCATTACTGGTATGTGAGCCAGATCTACAAAGATGAAATCAGACACATAGAGAAAGAAACTAAAGTTAGCATAATGCCAACTGTCACTGTGACATTTCACACTGAACATGAAGGTGGGAATCCAAGTAAGGCTCTCAACAGGTTTGCAGATCTTCTCCAAAAGTGTTTGTCTGATTCCACTTCCTCAGTTACTCCTCTGAAGTCTGTAGATCCTAATCGGTGGGGTGATGCACTGAAATTCATTAATAACAATGACAGCAAGCTTTTAGTCACCATGTCCTCTGAGGAAATGACCGTCTGTGGGCCACAGCTTTATAAAACATTTCTCAGTTCAACTATAAATGCAACACAGAAATTCAACTCTCCTGAAGAGACATCTAGGTCAGCAAGATCTCAAAACTTAAATGAAGAGCTCTGCCTGAAAATCAAAATGACAATCAAAGATCATCTCACCGATACAGGACTAACCATAGCTGAGAACTCATGGGAACGCTTGATCTCTTCCTATGCTAAAGAACTTGCAAAAATCAAAGCTAAGTTCAATGTGGACTTTAAAGAGTCCATCAGTGGGGGCAAAGTTAATGTCAAAGCGTTCTACAAGAGACCTGGAGGAAACCCAGCCATGGAGAGCCATGCTGTCAGAGCTCTGCTGCGTCTGTACCAGAAGATTATGATGTCACCCTCTGAGGAAATGACCGTCTGTGGGCCGCAGTATTCTCAAAATGTTCTCAGTTCAACCTTGAATGCAACACAGAATTCCAAATGGGCTTCAGAAGATTCTGAACGGCCGGCTAGTTCTAAAGACTTCAATGTTGACCTGTGCCCTAATTCCAGCATGATGATGAAAAGCATTGGTGATGCAGGACCCTCTATGGAGAAGAACCAATGGAGGTGCTCGTAGTTTCTTGTAGTAGAGCAGAGTTGAGCAATTTTCACTATGTATTATCGTTTTTTATCTTGTTTTCTGTTTTTTGAAGAAAGAAGAATGTCAGAACTTTATTAAAGGGCAAAGATGAGAAAAGGCACAAGGAGGTAAAATGTAATATATGCTTAATCTTATAAATAATTATAATCCAACAATGTCACATTTTCACAGCATCTTTATTATTGAATAATCGTTATTGATTATTCTTTGAATATAGTAAAATAAAAAGTGTTTCCCCCGTACACTTTCAGTCAAAATACAATGATTCACATTGTCAAACAAATAAGAGATCCAGCGACTGAATTTCAGCGTTTTTGGCACCCAGGTTTTGCTTGATACTGCTAACAAACTAACTAACTAACTTCAGTAAAATACATCTGGACTTTTTCAGATGATACTTAGGCTGTTGATAGTCAGTGCTGCCACCTTCTTGTTTAGTGTGGAACTGCTTGTTTTGCCAAATAACCTTATCTCACAACGTTGGAGAATCCTTCAAAAAAAAAAAAAATCCTGTATACAGATTATGATGTGGATCATAAGTACACTTAAATGGATTGTTCCTTGGACTGAGGTACACCTTTCGTAAAAATGTCATTAAAATCTGTCTGTAACTTTCCAAGTTATCCTATACACACAGGTAAACAAACAAACACACACAAACTTGACTAAAACATATCCTCCTTGGTGGAGGTAATACTTTTTAGTAGTAAATTAGTTCGGGAAAATTATACAGTACACTGTCAGTCCCTTGAGAACACAAAAGCATAAATTAAAAACATAAGTGTCTTTATTTTTTTATGTGAATGAAGAATGAATCTTGGTTAGATCCCCCAGTTGTATTGATGTCAGATAATATATTCATTAGAATTGAAATATTGATTGACTATTTATTGTTTCCCTTTTCAGGACATGGTCCTTCCTGTCAAACAAAATAATCCCCTTACAAAGGCTGGAGGCGCAGCTCAAGAAAGTTGTTTTCTGCCAGTGAATCTCTTTTGGTACATGAGCAACATCTATAAGGAAGAAATGAAATGTATTGAGAGGAACAATAAAAGTAAAATCACGGCACAGGTCCATGTGACATTTGAAGCTGGAAGAGCAAATAAGGCTCTCTCTGAGTTCATAGAGCTCTATCAGAGCTGCTTAGCTGAGTCAGGAGGCGTAGCCATTCCCCTCAAGTTTGTAGATCCAGATCAGTGGAGCGATGCACTGAGAGTCATCAAGAAAAACAAGGATAAGCTTTTGCTCTCTATGTCCTCTGAAGAAGTCATTGTCTGTGGTCCAAAGCAAGGCCAAGATGAATTCAGTGCAGTCCTAAATGCAATGCAGAAGATAAACCATCCCATCGATCATCTTAAACCTGTACCAGTTGGTACATCACCCAGGATAAGAAACATGACATTAACAGATTCAAATGTTGGAGCAATAAAGCATAGTGATTATCAGAAGAAAGCAGACTCCAGAACTCCTTTAACAATTAAGAAACAGTATCTTATGAATGCATCAATTGAAAATATTTTATTGGAGAGAAAAGAAGACCCATGTCTTATATGTTTATCCCAATTTACTAATAAGGAACAGCTGAGGTGTAAGCATGCATTCTGCAAAGACTGCCTGCAAAGGGCAGTGCAGCACAGTGGACCAATCTGTCCTATATGCAAAGATATATTTGCTGTGGTCAAGGGAAACCAACCTGAGGGAACAATGAAATGGAAAAAACATAACTATGCAGACCTCCCTGGATTCCCAGGCTGTGGCTATATAGAGATCAGCTACTATATCCCTGGTGGATTACAGACGGTAAAGTACCACCTCATATACACTATATTATGAAATTGACATATTTTGAAATGGCTATCAGTTACCAGATTTTTTCCATTCTATCAGGAAAATCATCCAAAGCCTGGACAGTACTTTGCAGGAACCACTAGAATAGCATATCTTCCAGATAACAAAGAGGGGAATGAAGTTCTGCACCTGCTGAAAAAAGCCTTTGACCAGAAGCTGATTTTCACTGTTGGAGCTTCTAGGACAACTGGGATGGAGAACGCAGTGACCTGGAATGACATCCATCACAAGACATCCATGATAGGAGGACCAGAGTGGTACGGTTATCTGGTTTGATCCTTTTACTTTGCTTTAATATTCAGTTTCATGTATTACACGTTTCAATTTTGTTCTTTCACAGTTTTGGATATCCTGATGAGACCTACCTGAGCAGAGTCAAGGAGGAGCTGAAAGCTAAAGGCATCGAGTGAAATCTTTATTCTACATTAACTGATTACATTTTTGATAATAAATGTCTTCCTAAAGTCTGACAAACTGAATTTACACACTTTGTTTTTGCATAATAGATGCGTAGTAGTTGATCTTAATGTTTAACTTGAAGTTTACTGGAAGCTAAATCACATCACTCGTATGTTTAAATGCAACTAAATGAATTACAGAATTTTGAAATAATTTGCTGAGCTGTTTTGTTGTAGACTTTATCTTTGTATTTTTTTGTTATTTTAGAGATGTTATAAATGTGTTGATGTAAGAATGTGAGAATGCGTGTTGGAGCAGCCCTGTTAAAGAACTTCTGTCAATAGATTAGACATACAATAAAGTTTTTCTATATGTCATCTAAATGAAAATATCAAAAATGTTTTTTTTTATTCTAATGAATCAACAGGGTTACATATTTTGTATCTTCCTATAATGAAATGTTCTTTATCAATAAAAGTCTGAAATTCACCAACAGTGGAAGAGGTATTTTTTATATGTTAACAATTCACAAAAAAATTATCTTGCTAGGTTGGTTAGTATAAAATGAGATTCAAACATTAAACAATACTAAGTAAAGTGGAAAACATTACAAACACATGGTCAATATGTGGATCATCAAACACTCATGAATTGAGACTGGCTTAGCGGAATCGGACATGGCAGTGATTGCTCTCAGGTTTTTAGACCCACATAAGTTCAGCAAACCACTCATTTGTCAAGAGAAGCAATAATAAACCTTTTGTGACTCTGGCACCAAAAAATACTCTAAAGAAGTTATTGTATGGGTCCAAAGTAAAGCCAGATGATGATCCATGGCTCCTCTTAAGAAAGTTGATATAATTGCTTATCTAAATGTCAAATCCAGCAACAAACAAAACAAAAACAAAGTTCTTAACACCAGAGTTCTTCAGCCTGTGATTCTCTACTACAAATTATAGGACTAGAATTTATGATTGGCAAAAAAATGGCTTTGTCGACCTGAAGCCCCTTTAAACATATTCTTTGGGTATTCTTTGGGATCAGTGTTCACAGGGGCCCAAAGACAAGTTCTTTGCACCCACAATGGAAACAGATGCTAAAATCCGTATTGTTAATGAATATCTCAAAGTCACAAAACAGTTAAATGTATTTATTGTATTTTTGGGGTGTCTTTTGCTTCAATTCTTTTTTTCAGGCTACAAGACAAGAAAAACCTCCACATCCTTGATGGTCATATCAGAAAACCACCTAAACAGCACATCTTTCAGACAAGGAAGAGGGCAAAGAGCAGCTGAAACTGCTGAAAAAAGCTTTTGAACAGAAAATTATATTTACTATTGGGACGTCCAGGACAACTGGGTTGGACAAGCAGGTGATCTTGAATAATATTTTTTACAACACCCCAATGTTGGGAAGACCATAGAGGTTCAGCTGCTAATGTTTATGTTTCATTCTTCTTATTCTTTCTTTCATTCTTCACTTTGTTTACTTTGATGCTTTATGTTACTCTTTAGGGTTGTGCTGCTACAGACATGGGTATCCTGACACAAAGTGCTGAGCAAAGTCAATGAAGACCCCTGTTTTGTTTTGCATTGTTTTATTGTGTTTGAAGTACGTTTATTAATGTATTATTGAGTGCTTAGTTTTACTTTATCCCTAATTATTTTATTGTTTTTTATTCTTTTTGATTTTCAGCACCTTTTTATCTGTGGCTTGTGTTAAATGAAGCTGTTGATGATGAT